CCGTGCGGATCGAGCCCCCGCCTCGGTGGAAGCGCGGGTGGGGGCATGGGCGGCGGCTGCGCAGCAGGTGCCGCCACCCGTTGTCACGCTGAACACTGTCATCTGCTGCTGCTGCGCTCTGCGAGCCGCTGGCCTGGCTGGCTGAGAGGAGGGCTGCTGGCCGCGCTCGCTGAGAGGAGGGCCGCGGCCGCGGTGACCGAGCCCGAGGCCCCCTCAGAACCCGAAGCCCACGAGCCCGAGATCGCCTCGCCCCTGCCCGCGCACTCCTGGCAGGCCCAGAGCGCGTCTCTGCCGACCTCGAGCCATGTACCATGTCTGCCGCACGTCCTTCGCGAGCAGTCGCGAAAACTGCAGTGGCTCCTCCAGCGCAGCTTGCATCCCTGCCAGTCGCACCGCACAGCCGCTATGCCTGGTCCATCGTGGCCGTCCGCGGCGGTCAGCTCCGCGTCGCCCTCCTGCACGGCGGCGCCCACCCAGCGGAAGACCTTCCTGACTAGGCGGTCCCGGCGCAGGCTGCGCGCGCGAACTACCTCGTCCGTGGGATGCATCTCCGCGCCCTGGATGGCGCGAGCGTCCGCACTGTGGTTGGTTGGTTGGCTGGCTGGTTGGTTGGTTGGGCGGTTGGTTGGTTGGTTGGTTGGATGGTGGTTTTTCTCCTGAGGCGACGGGGTTGGTGGGTTGGTTGGCTGGTCGGTTGGTTGGTTGGGTAGTTGGTTCGTTGGTTGGCCAATTGGTTGGCTGGTGTTTGGTCGGTGGGTTGATTGGTTGGGTGGTCGGGTGGCCGGTTGCCTGCTTGACCGGGTGGTTGGCTTGTTCTATCTTCCCTCCTCCCTCCCCCCCCCCCCCTTCCTCCCTTCTCACTCCTCCTGCTTCCCTCCTCTTCTTTGTACCTTCCTCCCTTCTGCTCCCTCTCTGTCCTCCTCTGCCTCCCCCTCCCCCTCGCCCGCAATTCACTGCAACGCGATGCGTTGCAAGTGCAATGCAAATGCAACGCAGTGCAAAGCAATGCAACGCAAAAAGATGCAATTCAACGCAACGAAACGCAGTGCAACGCAATGCAATGCAACGCTACGCAATGCAATGCAATGCAACGCAACGCACTGCAATTCAATTCGTTGGAGAGACGAAATTGACGACGACGATGACCAGAGCCAGGGAGGCGAAACACAATTCCATGTTATTATCCTCGTCCTTCTTCCTCCCCCCTCCCTTCCCCCTCCTCCATCCTCCCTCCTCGCTCCTTCCTCCCCCTTCCACCCTCCCCGCCCTCCCCTCCTCCCCCCTCCTGACCTCCTCATTCATCCTTCCCCCCCTTCTCTATATCATCCTCCGTTCTCGTGTCCCCCCCCCCCCCTGGCCCGCAACATTTTGCAGCGCAATGCATTGCAAACGCAATGCGAATGCAACGCAGTGCGGCGCAATGCAACGCAACAGGACGCAATTCAATACAACGCAATGCAATGCAACACAATGCGATGCAACGCGTCACGCGGCAGCCCCGTGGGAGCCGAGCGCAAAAATGATGCCACGACGGCCGCGATGACGAGGGCCAGGGAGGCGAACAAAACTACTATCATACCTATACGACCACCCTTCTGGCGATAAGGAGGTTCGGGGGGGGGCGGGAACCAACGTCTCACTCGATCGGTCTCACTATCGATTTCACGATCGATCACAGTATCGGTCTCGCTCGATCGATCTCCCTCGATCGATATCACAATCGATATCACTCGATCTATCTCACAATTGATCTGACTATCGATCTCACAATCGATCTCACAACCGATATCACATTCGGACCCACTATCGATCTCACTATCGATATTACAACCGCTATCACAATCAACGTCATCATCATAAACAACAACATCAACATCAACACCAGCATCACCAACATCATCATAATCGGGACACCGTCCTCATCATCAACACCAACATGATCATCATCATCAGCACGGTCATCATCATCATCATCATCATCATCGGGGCACCGCCATCATCACCATCACCATCATCACAGTCACCAGCATCATCAACACCATCAGCATCAGCATCATCGGGACACAGTCACAGTCATCATCACCATCAGCAGCAGTATCAGCATCGGAACACCATCATGATCACCATCGTTATCATCATCATCGGAGGGACACCATCATCATCATCATCTCATCCTCATCATCGACAGCATCTTCATCAGCATCATCAACATCATCATCAGCATTATCATCGTCGTCAACATCGGGGCACCATAATCACCATTACCAACATCAGCATCAACATCATCATCAACAACATCATCATCCTCATCATCATCACCATCGGGACGCCATCATCATCAACATCATCTGCATCGTCATCACCACCAAAATGATCATCATCACCGGGACGCGATAATCATTATCAACCTCATCATCATCAACATCAGCATCATCGGGACACAGCCATAATCAGCATCGTCAACATCAACATCATCATACTCATCATGATCGGGACCATCCGCATCATCATGAGCATCCTCATAATCATCATCATCATCAAACACCAACATCGTCATCATCATGATCATCAACATAACCTTCATGATCATCACCATCCTCATCATCGGGACACCATCAGCATCATCATCATCACCATCATCATCGTCATCAGCACCATCATCGACATCATCATCATCGGGACACCATCATCAGCATCATCATCAACAGCATCATCATCAGCATATCCATCATCATCATCGTCATCACCATCACCATTATCATCATCAACATCATCATCATCATCCCATTATCATCATCATCATCATCATCACCATCACCATCATCATCGCGGGACACCGCGGGACACCGGCGGGACACCGCGGGGCACCGCAGGACACCGCAGGACACCGCGGGACACCGGCGGGACACCGGCGGGACACCGCGCGCCACCGGCCGCCCGGTGGAGATTCATTTGGTCCGGCCGCGCGTCAGCCACAGAAGACTTTCCTCTCGCCCGCCCACGCAGCTTCGCCTCGCCCGCACGGCACGCACGAACACGAAACCGAAATCGATTTCCCGGTAGGGGGGCTCTCCGTTCCACTTCGATCTCACCCCCTCACCTCCGATCCTCCTCCTCGTCCTTTTCCCTCCCTCCTCCTCCCTCCTCCCTTGATCCTCCCTCCTCCCTTGCCGCTTGCCCTTCCTCCCTCCTCCCCTCACCTCCTCCCCCCATCCCCCTCCTCGCTGCAATGCCATGTGCTAGTCCTCCCTCCTCCCCCTCCCCTCCTGCTCCTCCTCCTCCTCCTCCTCCTCCTCCTCCTCCTCCTCCTCCTCCTCCTCCTCCTCCTCCCTCCTCCTCCTCCTCCTCCTCCTCCTCCTCCTCCTCCTCCTCCCTCCTCCCCCCCCTCCGCCACCTCTGGCGCGGCGCGCAGCTAAGGCAGCGAATTCAGCTGCGTTGCCCCCAGCGCAGCACAGGTTGCCGAGGAGCAACAGCGCCTGCCCCCGCGCTGGCAGCCGGTCCTGCCAGCCTGGACGCGCGCCTCCCAGCATGGCCGCCGCGGTCCCGGCGCTGCCACCGCAGCGAAGGCAACAAACGGATCCGGGACCTTGTGCGAGAGAGTGCGGCCACCACGAGCGCCCCGAGAACAATGCCGCCAGCATGGCGCCAGCGCTGACGGGCTCGGCGCTGCCACTCCGGCGCGGCCGGGCAGCCGGCCGAGCCGCGCGGGCGTGGCCGGGCAGGGCGGGGCCCGTTGGGGCGGACGCCGCGCGAAAGCGAGCCCCGCGGCGGACACCCCGCCAGATACGCTGGCCGCAGCGCTGGCGCGCTGGCGCGGCGGCCAAGGCCGCTTGCTGGGCAGCCGCTTGCACCCGCTGCGCCGCTTCCAGCAGTTCCAGCTCCCTGAGGCGGCCGCGCACCAGCTCGCCTGGCACTGCCCGCTGCGCCGCGGCGGCGCCAGCGTTGCTGTCAGCCGCGGCGTTGCCGAGACGGTCGCGCTCGCCCAGGCCCAAGCGCCGCGCCTCAGCCGGCGTCTTGTGGGCTGGGACCCAGCGGGCCCGCAGCCGCCCGGAGCGCACGGCGTCCGCCAGCTGCAGCCGCAAGTCGGCGTGCTCCCAGTCACGCGCGTCAGAGCCAGGACCACCTCGCGCACATCTCAGGCGAAACGGGCCGGACCACCTCGCGCGCAGCATCTCGGAGCCCCGAATTGCGAGAATGTCTGAGGTGAACCTCCTTGCCATATCCTTCTACGCATCGCGCCATCTGTATTTCCCGTGTTCGGCGCGTCCCGCGATTCCCGGGTTCGTGGTTCGGCTTCCGTGGGTCGTGCTTTTTCGTTCTGGGGTTCGCGCCTTTCGCAGGTTGAGCTCGTTCCCCGGGTCGAGCTTTTTCCCAAGGCCGTGACCCCTGGCGGATCTATCCCCTCGTGGTGCCCAAATGCCACGTATTGCAAGTTGAGACAACCACTTGACCAACGAAAGCGAAAACAACTATTGACCAACGAAAGCGAAACAACCACGCGCACCCAATTGAATTCATTCAGTTTCCATTTGCCAGGTTTACATTCATGTGTTTTTAATTCGCCCAAATTAAACTAATCCGGAATTAATTCGCCCAATTTAAATTCATCCGGTTTTACGTTATCCTGTTAAATTCATCAGATTGTATTTCTCCCAGTTCCACTTCATCCGGTTTTACTTCATCTGGTTCACATTAATCCAATGTTTATTCACCCGGTTGACTGTCATCAAAATTTAAGACATCCAATTTTAATCCGCCTGTTTAAATTCATCCGGTCTTGGTTCATCCAATGAAAATCTCATCCGGTCTTGATTCAACCGGTTTTAATCGCCCCAGCTTCCACACGAATCACGCAGAGCAAGAGAGGACGAAACCGAAGCGGACGAAACAAAAGCGGGCGAAACAGAAGCGGACGAAGCAAAACTCCACCCTTGGCAATACTCTCCCCACTCATCATCCGCCTCCCCGTCCTCTCCCTCTTCCCCCTCCACCCCGCGCTCCTGGATGAAGGGGGCGGTCCCAGAGGAAGCTTCGTAGAGCTCCTGACGCACCGTCTTCGTGTTGCAAATCTGCGAGTCGAGTTCCTCTTAGAAGAGGTGGACGAAAAACGACCAAGCCTCATCCGGGGGAGCCGTGCTCCTCCCTGGGGGGGGAGCAAATCGTACCGGCGATCTCTTGAAAGGGGTGCCGAAGCCGATGGGTCCCCCAGAAGGGGCAAAAAGGACCACAACTCTCCCCCAGCTGTGGCCGATCCGAGGGAGGCAGTCGGAATCGTATCGAATCGGCCGCGCCAAATTGCACAACAACGCTAAGCAAACATGGGGCCGCATCGGATCGCCCGAACGTTCGAATCGAATCGGATCCAGCCGGCCGAAAACGACATCGAATCGGATCGATCGGATCGATATGGACCTTGAAGGGGTGCCGAAGCCGATGGGCATCCCAGGGGGGGGGGGGGCAACAGCTCCCCCAGTTGTGGCCGGCCTGAGGAGGGAGGGCGGATGGAAGAAGAACACATCGCCAACACATACAAACTGTCGGATGTCCGCGCGGCATACTGGGCTCGGCCCTGGACCCCCCTTCCCGGCGCGCGGAGCGCGCTGGGGGCGGCGCCGCACCGCTCCGTCTCACAGGGGCTCTGGAGCCCTTGGGCACCCGACGAGACCTAGAGATGGCCACCGCCTTTGGCCAAGTCCACCCTGTGCCCAGGAGCGGTTGTGGATACGCCACCCTGGAAGTAGCTCGCGCCTGCCCCTGCGGCTCGGGCGGGCGGTAAGGGGGGGTGGCCCCCATGGGGGGTTGAAGACAAGGGCCCTAAAGGGACCCTTTAGGGCCCGTGCTGGCTCCCAAAGAATGCCTACAGGGCCCTGTCAGGGCCCTTCTCTTCACCCCCCATTCGGGTCACCCCCATCACCACCCGCCCGAGCGGGGTCCTGCAGGCTGGCGTCGCACCTGTCCCCCGAGCTCCTCGCCTCCGACTGCAGCTGCGACAGCTGCTGGGCCATCAGGCGGGACTGCTCCTGCTGAGCGGGGCGAGGGGCCCCGTCAGGGCTCACGGAGGCTGCCAGGGTTAGGGGGAAAGGTGCAGAGGGCGGAAATGGGGAGGGCTGAAGTCCGACAGGGAAGAACGTGCAAGCTTGCCAGGGAGGCCAGGGATCAAAAGGACCGAGATGGATCGATAATTCGCGGAGTCTTTTTCGACCTTCGAGGCCCCTCGTTGCCGCGGCTGGGCGCAGCTCGAAAAAATGTCCAGATGGACCCATGGAGGGGCTCATAAACACAGATGTCTGACAGATTGTTGTGCCCTTCGCCATGAGGCAACATAATCCTGGAATTTCTGTCTTGTTCAGGGCCCGTCCCTGGACACGGGCCCCCCGCGACCCGGTCCCATCAGGACGCAATGTGGATATGACCCTCCTCTCCACGAAAACATGCTGAGAATGGCGCACCTCTCTCCACGTACTTTGTTTCACATTCGTTGCTCTTGTGTCTTTCGAATTTCAACGGTCAAGGTCCTTCCGAAATGATGTCCTCGCTGCAGCGTTGCAATCATTTCAGGATCGACGCGTTGCTCCCGTTGTTCAGAATGGCGTCACCGCCCCAGCGCTAGATCGGCATTTCCTCGAAGTACAGTGGGGGGTGGAATGCCCCTCAGCGCCACCTCTGTGGAACATGTTGTCATATTGTGCGATCGTCGTTTTCGATTGTTGATATGTGCCAAGCGCTACGCGCGCGGTCTGTGCGGCTCTATTATTTGCCTTGGCTGGCATCCTGCCAGCCCCCCTCAAAAGTTTCCAACCCCTCCCCCGGACTGGCTCTGCGTAGATGGTCTGTGTCAGTAGGTTTGTTTGAACTGTGCTTTACATCCCTTATCGTAATCAATTGGCCGTTTTTTGCCCCGTTCCCCCTTTCTGCAACCAATCCCACCAGCCCTCTGGGCGGAGGTGGTTTAGAGAGCCCGCTTGTTCCGTCCCTTTCTTCCCCTTGGGGGAAGGGTTTACCCATCCCCCTACCACCCCCCCGGGCCTGGAAGGGGGGGGCACGGGTGGCTGGAGCGCCTGTTTTGGCGTAAGATGGCGCCGAGACAGCCCGAGAGAGCTCAAGATGACCTCCAAGATCGCTCAATATAAACCTCGATGGCTCAGGATAGCTCCGAACAAGCCTACACGAGGCTCCAAGACCGTCCCAAGACGAGCCGAAGTGGCCACGGAACCTCCCAAGGACGCCCCCGAGAGGCCAACATCCTTCAAACACATAAGGAAAATCAGTGGTATAATTTACCTTCTCGCCCTTTCGCTTTCAATGGGCTCTTGAGGCGGCAAGATGGACCCAAGAGGGCCCAAGAGAGCTCCAAGACAGGCCCAAGAGAGGCCCAAGAGAGGCCCAAGAGCGCCCAATAACGCCCCAAGAGCGGCCCAAGAGGGCCCCAAGAGGCGACGTTTCGGATTCCGGAGGGGGCGCGTATGTAATTGACGCCGCGTTGCTTTTTGAGGCGTGGCCTGCAAGATGGTCCCAAGAGACCTCCCAGACCCCCCACTATGGACCCCAAGACCACCCACAAGAGCCACAAAGGTGCCCCAAGAGGCACCACGAGGACCCCAAAAAGGTCCGGAGACCTGCAACATTGCCCCCAGGAGCGACAAACCCAGAAACGCCTTCATGATTGACTTCGTCGTCGTCTTCGTCGTCGTCGTCGTCATCGACGTCGTCGACGTCGTCTTCGCCGTCGTCATCGTCGTCGCCGTCGTCGTCGTTATCCTGGTCATCGCCGTCGTCCTCCTCGTCATCGCTATCCTCATCTCTCCGCACGCCGCCTTCTCTTCCTCCTGCTCCGCGCCGTCCTCCTCCCACTGCCCCCATAAAGAATGTATAACAGAAAGCAGGTAGGCGGTGGGCGGAAGAGGGAGAGATATGCGAGGGCAGGAGGCGACACACCCGAAAGTCACGACCGTCGGCGTGCGTCGCAAGATGTGCTGTTTTGGGATGGTCTGGTGGGGACATTTTTTTGTTCTGCGGCCCAAAGGACGGTTCCAGAGGGCGGGTCAATCAGGCTGTCTGGGGCACAGAGCCAGATCATTTGCGAAACCAGCCGTCGCTGTCGACAGCCGACCGCACCTGCAAGCATGCCGAACGGAATTCAAGAAGACGCACCTTGGCGCCGACAGGAGGGAACGGGCGCGGGGAGAGTGCGAGGGGTCGCCGAAACGGCGCCAGCCCAACACGACGGAGCAAGCAGGAGCAAAGCCAGCGGGCCAAAAGCCTACGCCGGGAGGCACAAGCGACCAGGGAGCAAGCAAGATAATTGCCAGCGGGCCAAAGCCAACGCCGGAATGCACACGCGAGGGACAACATGAACTTCATTACGCCGCACGAAAACGGCACCCAGTGAAAGCTGGGCGACGCACAGTGGCGCTAACACCCGACAAACCGGGAAGAGAAAACGCAAAGCGGACAACTGCCAACCTGGAACCCTCACTCATGGAGCACCTGAATGCTCGATGCTGGCTTCTCGCGCCCAGTGCGTGAGGTAGCCGAAGGGCGACCGCCTAGTGGGGGGGAAACGCCACTGGGCAAGGTCGTCAGTCACCGAAATGCGTCGAGTGGGGCGCGTGGGCTGGGCCTTAGGCCGACGACCCCATCCAGCCAAGGTGCGCGCCCAGTCTGGTGGGGATATATATATATATATATATATATATATATATATATATATATATAGCGGCCCGCAAGAAGAAGTCCAGAGGGCGCGAGGACCGAGGCTGGGGCACAGCGCAAGATAATTAGCGCGAGAACGCGCGGAGTGCACATGCAAGCCAGCGAGGAGTCGCCCCGCCGGCGCCAACTCGCGAAGAAACAGACACAAGCAGCCGGCCGCGAGGCGCGCACAGCCTGCGCCGGCGCAGTAGCAGAGGCCAGACCAGCCGAAGGCGGCGGGAGCGGCGGGCGGAAGCGCGAGCAAGCGAGGGGCCGCCCAAACGGCGCCCGCAAGCAGCGACCACTTGCCAAACACAGCACGCACGGACCCTGTACCCGTGCAGTCGCGACGGCCAAAGCAGCTGTAGGCAGCAAAGGAACCGCCTACAGGCAGAGCGAACGGATAGAGAGGCGACGAGACAGGCAGACGGAACCCTCACTCACGGAGCACCCGGTGCTCATCGATTACCACAAGAGCGCAACTGAAGAACTCCGTCGACAAGAGATGGAAGGGGCGGACAACCGACGCGCACGGTATAACAACCACTAGGTGCACTGACTGACGAGCGCGCCTTGTTCAGGTCCCAACCCAGCTACCACAGCCTGTGCCAAAATGGCGCGCCGTGGCCCGCTGCTATATATCCTCGCTCCAGGAGATGGCCCGGTGCATCCAAACTGCGGGGCGACAAGCGCACAGAGACTCACTGACCACGCCGACGGGCGTCAGCCGTGCCCCAGGCACGGAGAAGGGCGACTGTCGCTTGCCTGCGCCCTCGCGATGGGTAGCGCTGCAGCCCGTAGCCTTTCCGCGCGAGCGAGCTGGCCTGCAAGCATGGAGGCCCAGAGCAGTGGGGAGGGCTATTGCAGCCGAGCCCCGCAAGCGGAGCCCACGGATACCATGGGCGGACGCAGTGAAAGTGCACCTCGCTCCCAGGAGGACGCGCGTGGACTGGCCCAGCTCCTTCGACTGTGGCCTGCCAATGAGCAGCCTGGAGACTTGCGAGCCCTGTGGGTGCCACGTGCCGATGGGGCGCCACCACCGTGCCCATGGCGCAGGGAGGGGGGGGAGGGCAGCCGATAGCCGCTAGCAATTGAATGAAGCGGAGGGCCCGAGCGAACCCAACACGAGGACCCAACGCGCGCCAGGTGCCACCCGGGGAAGGGCCGGAGAAGGGAAGCCACGCGGGCACGCCGTCGGACTTCAAAGGGTGAAGCGTGAGGGGGGGGGGGGGGGGGCCTTCAGCCAGTCACCACAGACTCCACGGGCCTGCAATCAGCGCGGCCAAAGACCCGTGGGTGGGGCGATTTCGGCCGACCGCGCGGGCAGAGAGCCCGCGGGGCGCCGCGGGTATCTACGTTCAGTGTGGGGGTGCCCCTCGAACCCAAGAGGTGACACAATAACTGTGGCCATGGCCAGCCGCTGCGGGCGGGGGGCGGAGGGGGCGGGGCCTTCAGCCGATCGCCCGGGCCCTCCATGGGCCAGCGTAGAACGCGGCCAAGAACCGCGGGTGGGATTCTCAGCCGACCACACGGGCTAATAGCCCACGGAGTGACGTGGGGGTCTAACGCAGTGTGGGGGTGCACCTCGCTCCCAAGAGGTGGCACGGGAACCAAGACCGCGGCCTGCCACTGCGCCGAAACGATTGCTCTTCAACGGGGGGGGGGTCAGGAGCAAATGCAGCTCAGGGGGGCTCCATTGTCCCCGCGGCAAGCCCAAGTCGGCGGCTCCAGCCTGCGCGGGGCAGGGCCTGCGACTGCCACATGCCGCCGATCAGTCACCAGGTTGCAGGGGCGACGAGGGAGAGGAGGAGAGCAGCCGATAGCCGCTGGACATTTGAATACAGGGGGGAGCTGTGCCCATGGGAACAGAGGGCCACACTTCCAGTGGCTCCAGGAGGGAGAGGAGGGGGGCAGCCGATAGCCGCTGGGCGTTTGAGAACTGGGGGGGAGCCGTCTGCTGAGTGGTACAACTCACTCCCAGGGGGTGACCAGTGTGCACGGCTGCTGCCTGTCACTTGTGAAGATAGCGCCCCTGTCCAAGGCGGCTCCAGGTCGTGTGGCGATGGGAGTCCCAGGCCGCGCCATCCCTGCTTGGGGCAGTGACCTCTTGTCAGGCCTGTGGCCAGCGTCACCAGCGGTCGAACTCCCTCCCTCGCTGTCGCTTGTCGGCGTATTGTACGTCGCCTCTCGGGGCGGTCCTTTTTTCCCTGGCACCCCAGTCTGCGCCGCCCCATGAGCTTTCCTGGCGGCCCCGCCCCTCCCAGGGCGGCCGCGGGCGCCGTGGGGTGGCGGAGCTGGATGCCCCCGATCGCGCTGTGACCCTGTTGTC